GGAGGCCCGCCACGGACCGTTAGGGAAGAGACACACTGCAGCTCTCCCGTAGGTGCAGTTAGGAGCGATTGCCACTCGCTATGTTACCTATTTTTGCAATGCTCAAATTTTTATAATGAGGTTGTTTTGCTGCTGAAAAAGAAAAAATAGGATATACTTAGTATCTTCATCAGCACCCGCAGCGGCACAGTTCTCAGTAGACCTCCTGAGCAAATGGAGAATATGAGCAGATTTTCATGTCAGAAGAGCCTTTGGTATTGCAAAACTCCAACTATTATTTTTCTTCTGTTTTCGCATGAAGAGTTCTATATTGAGTAAGACAGGATCTTGTAATATGGAAGCTGGGGAGAAATGAAACATCGGGTTGCCTTCCATTCTCCTAGGCTGGGACTATTTTTAGCTTTTGCCTTATTAAGTGTTGGCAGAAGCCTGGCAATGCTATCAGATGCCAGTAATGGCTGTCATTTATTGAGCACTCGCTACCTATGAGGTCCTGGGCTCAGAGCTCTACACACAGGATCACGGTTAGTCCTCGTTAGGTCCTGAGGCAGTGATGCTGGTCCTGCAGAGGAGGAACCTCTGGCTCAAAGAGGTGAGAAGTCTGTCCAGGGATGTGGCTGGGCTCAGGCTGAAGCTCCGCCTCCCCGACTCCAAAGCCCTCTCGACCACCTGCTGTGCCCACAGGCCGCTCAGCCCTGCTCTCAGCTCTGTCTTCCTACCTGTCTGTAAAATCCGAGGGAGGTAAAAACCTGATATCTTTATCCTTAAAAAATTTCTTCCTGATATCCCCAAGCCACTTCTGGGGGGTATGGACTCGGTAGGCGGGACTGGACAGATGGAGGTCCTTCCGAGTTGTACCCCAGTTCCGCACCCAGTTTGCCGTGGGCAACGAGAAGTTGACAGCTGTGGAGTTTATCAAGACCAGCACTGCCTCAGAGTGTTGTCCACCCTGACCCTGACTTTGTGGTGCCTTGTGTGGTTGATATTTACAGACTCCTCCCATCCAGGATGAAATTAAGCCCTGACATAAACCACTGCTAAGTTGGGATCCCAGCTGCTGCTTCAAGTGACATTTGAAAGGCCAGCTGTTATGCACATTTGTCAGCCACAAGCCGAGATGGCTGTTAGGTCTGGCCAAGGGGCAAGTTGGAAATGCAGGGATGAAATACTGACACCTGGCCGGCTCCTTGGGAAGAACTTGCTTAGCTTTGGTGTGGTTTGGTTTTTGTGGACATCGTTCTATGAGCTTCCCGCCTCTCCCCTAGCCTGTCCTCTTTCTCTCCAGGTCGCGAAGGCTGTGTCGAGGACATGTCCAGCAGCGTGGCTGGGCACATGCTTTTGGCGGCTGCCCCAGAGCCTGCCTGCTCTCAGTAGCTTCCTGGCCTTTTATACAGAAATTGTGAGGCTGCATTTTCTCTGGAAGAAATGATGAGCAGAGTGGCTGGTCACCGGGGAAGTTCCTGGCCTTCGGCAGCGCGAATGCCTCCGGGCAGCGGTCTGAGGGCTTGTTTGGTCAACGGCGCTTCAAGTTGCTCGCACAGGTCTGGTCAGTCACAGCAGGTCACTGCCTGCTGGCTGTCCAGGGGACGAGGGCTCCTGCTCCTCCCCTCGGGCTACCTGTGGCCCTATGGAAGTGTGCAGGTCTGGCGATTCCACGTGCTGGTGGGTGTGTGGAGCGACTGGGACCTGCTGGTGGGACTGCAGATTGGCACAGCCACTCTGGAGAGTCATTTGGCACGTCCATATAGTTACGTACGGTGGACACTCCATTGCCCGGCGGTTCTAGCCAGAGGGAGCTCTTACACGGGCTCCGAGAGGCACGGGCAGGAGTGTCCACAGCAGCGCTGTTTCTGAAGTGGGAAACAAACACCCGCTGGCAGGAGGGTGCATAGATGAAGCCAGTGCGGTGGGCGCACGGCCACCCCGGCACCGAGGACGAGGCACTCAGCCCTGTCAGCAGGCCACTGTCGGACCTCCTGCTGAGTGGGACACAGGCGCAGGAAGGTATTTACAATGTTCTGCCATGTACGCGCAGTTCATAGACTTGTACATCATATAGTTTAGAGGTTTAAACTGTCCAAAAAGTGAGGGATGATCAGCACAAAAATGAGAATCACGGGTACCTGGTGTTGGTTTATTGGGATGTAACCCTATTATAAGTTGAGGCGCATCTGGATATGGATGGATGCAGTCTTCCAGAATTTGTTTTAATTTCAGTCCTAGAAAATCTCTGAAGACACACTCACCAGACCTGCCAGGGACTGATGGGAGGGCGGGTGGCGGAGCGTCGCGGGCACCGGCCCCGCCCCGCAAGGGGCCGCCTGCAGGTCGAGGCCAGGAGAGGAGTGTGTGCGCACTTGCGCGTTACCGGTGGGCCGTCCCCATCGCCCCCTCCCAGGCTGCTGTCGGCTGTCATTGTCCTGCTTCACCAGCACTCAGTGCTTTGCTTCATTGGTTCCGTGACCTTGCAAGTCACCTGCAACCTGCGTTGCTAACTCATTGCTTCAAGGAAAATGTGGCAAGTAGCCTCCACGTCAGAGTCTGTCCGGGTGAGTGCCCTCCCCGATCTCCAGGGTTGAGATCAGCTGTCGTGACAAAGAACCTGCTCTTTCCGCGCAGTGCGTCGCGCCTTGTGCTCGAGCTGGCTGTCGTGAGGCTTTCCTGTGCTCTGAGGAGAGATTTATCGGTAGACTCAGCACTTTCCTTAAATGCTGATGCCGAGTCCCAGCTGTGCCCTGAGACAGGATCACCCGGCTGTCCCCGGCCGAGCAGAGGGAGTGCTGCTCCTGGGCGCAGTGTGCTCTCGAGGGGAGGCCCCTCGCTGGCCCTGGGTCACGGCCAGGACCAGCCCTGCACATGCAGGAACCCGAGCGGTGGGTTTGGCCCCCACCCGGCCTGCCGACCGTCGTTCTGCCCTGGGCTGCGGCAGCAGACGCGTGCACCCGGCCAGCCCCTCAGCCCCACGGCTGCCCTTGTAGCCGCTCCGGGGAGCAGGCTGCAGGAGGTGGAAGTCGGCTTGCCCAGCTGTGTCTCTGGAGAGCTTTGACTACCAAAGCAGAGCAAAGAAACCGCACATCCTGCCTAGACTTCCCCATTTGCGTCTGCTTTTTGCCCTGCTTTCAGTCTTACTTGCCAGGGTGGAAGTCATGGGTTAGTACATCGCTCTAACATCCCGCCTGCCTTGGGAACCTGCCTGGTTCCCAAGGGGATGTGCTGTGACTTCGGGGCTGCTGAGGCCAGTCCCAGAAGGAGGGGGTGGGGGCAGGAGTGGGGGCAATGGTGGCAGCAGTGCAGACGCAGCCCCCAGAGAGGGAAGCAGAGGGACAGGCTGAAGCTGATGGAGACTCTGGCCAGTGCTGAAGGAAGAGGACAAGGCATCTGCGAGGCCCTCGGGCCAGGCCCGGGCGGCAGGGGAGCCTGGCTCAGGTCTGTGTGCAGTTGGCAAACGAGGACCCAACGTTCCGTCGGCCTTGCCCCCCACCCAAGCGGTAGAGAGAGTTAGGGGAGCCCCCTGTGCAGAGCAGAGCTATCTTCCAGACAAGGAAACCCAAGACTTAGAGATGTGACTGGAGTGTTTTAACCCCAGCAGTGTGACTACAGAGCTCACCCTCTTAACCACCCTGGGCAGCGAGGCCAGGCGCACCATTTTGAAGCATAAAGAGGGAAGTGTGACTGTGTAGGCCCCGCCCGGCTTGGGCGGGAAGGAGAAGGGGCAGGGCAGAGGGCAGCTGGAGAATCACACTCCCTCAGTTTACCTACTTTGAAGCCCAGGAATGACTGTGGTAAGTAAGGACCAGTCAAGCCAGATGTGTGAAAGAAGCCAGTTGCAAGGGACCCCATATTGTATAATTACATTTATTTGAAATGTCCTATCGAGACAGAAAGTAGACTAGTTGACTACCTAAAGCCGAGGGGAGTGGGGAGGGATGGAGAGGCGCTGCTAGAGAGCATGAGGTTTAAAAGAATGTTTTTCTTTATTGATTCCAGAGAGAGGGGAAGGGAAGGAGAAAGAGGGAGAGGAGCATCGAGGTGAGAGGGGAATGGCGGCCGGCGGCCTCCGCAGGTGCCCCAGGGGAGGGCCCGACCTGCAGCCCGGGCACGTGCCCGGCCTAGGAGCCAGGCCTGCGCCTTTCGGTCTGCAGGACAGCGCCCAGCCAACTGAGCCCCACCGGCCAGGGCGTGTTTTGGTAGGGGACACAATGTTCTAGAATTAAAACCTGGTGATGGTTGTTCAACCCAGTGAATTACTTTAAAAAAAGGTTTCACTCGACACTTTAAATGAGTCACCTGTATATGTGATGTATGTCTCGATGAAGCAGTTTAAAATGAACAACAGTCCACCGAGCAGCCTTCTTTCATCTCGCCGTGTATCGGCGCTCTCCAGGGTCCGGAGCCGCCTTCTTAAGCGGTTTGTGGGCATGTGTCCTCATACGAATGCAGACGCGCTGAGGACCGTGCCTGACCTCAGGGGAGACCGCCCGGCCTTTCACTGCGTCCAGGGGTTTTGAGCGCCTTAGTTCCATTTCAGTCTCCACTGCCAACTCCAAGGCCCTGCCGACATCACTTGTTACAGGTTACAGTTCCTAAACCAAAAAACGAGGGAAGAGGCTGATTTGAAAGGCCCTTGCTCCCTAGCCCCACCTCCCACACTTCATGCCGAGACTTCGGGGTTCCTTCCGCCAGGCCAGTTCCCTGGTACTGCCGTTAGATCATCGTACAAAAATCTCCATAAGGACACCTGGGAATATGTGCCCTTTTTGTTTTTGTTTTTGTTTCATAACTTATTTTGACTGACTTTGCCGCAATTCCAAACAACCTAACCTAGAGGCAGACATTGCAAAAATTGAAACATGCAGTCGTGTTTTTAGGAGTCTATATGTCCTTTTCTTGCAACTCGGAGCAGCTGGGGGAAGGTTTGTGTTGGGACGATGCTCCTGTCCAGGAAAGGCCCCTGCGGTCCCCACTCTGCCTCTAACAGCCACCACCCTCTTTGTTTCCAGACTCTCAGCGTTCCCACCTCTCCTCCTTCACCATGAAGCTGATGGACAAATTCCACTCGCCCAAGATCAAGAGAACTCCATCCAAGAAGGGAAAACCAGCGGACGTGTCTATGAAAATTCTGGAGAAGCCTGCGAACAAAGTAAGCGGACTGGGCTCTCTCTAGCGTTCCTCTAGGTTCCTCTGGGTGAACCTGTAGGGCGCTGAGCGTTTCTCACCTTAATCCGAGTCGAGCGCAGCTGGCTAGAACAGTTCTCCTTGTCCAGATGTGCCATCTTCTGGGCACCTAAACCAGCTCAGCACATCGTGTTCGCACCCCGGGTGCCGTCTCCCTGCCCCCGAGAGCCCCACATCACCCGGGCACACGCACACACGCACGGGGAAGTGTGTTATGTCCAGACCATCCATGCTCAGAGGCGTGCAAGTCCTTGACACCCAGCCAGAGCTCTCCTTAAGCCCTAGTAATGTCAATAGGGCCAGTCAAGCCAGATATGTTGAAATAGCTGTTGATTTTCATCGACCCCTTTCTTCAGCCTCAACGGCCATTTCAAGCTCTGTAGGAATCCAGGTTTCCTCTCTTCCAGGAGGCAACAGACAGATTTCTACCAGAGGGCTACCCTCTCCCCTTGGATCTGGAGCAGCAGGCAGTAGAGTTTATGTCCACCAGTGCTGTGGCTTCCAGGTCTCAAAGGCAGAAGGTCAGTGTGATGTTAAGAACATTGGGTTTGCCTTGCCTTCTACTGCAGAATCCTGGCCCATGGTTTTGGGGATGGAGAAAAATCTATGACAGCCTCATTGTGTTCATTTGGGTGGCAACTGTGGGCCTAATTGTTCAGGAAACAGTCCAAGGGACCGTGGGTAAAAAGTCAGTTTGTCCAGGCCCCATGGTCTTTGGCGAGAGTGCAGCCCTCCATGGCGAAAGTGTGGGGACCCTTGCTGGGGTTGGTTCGGGGGCGCTGCTTGGGTCCAGCGGGTTCTGGGGGAAGCGAGTGAGTCTCCTCTGTCAAGGTGAGCTGTTCTCTCCTCGAATTGCTAAGATGACCCAAACACAGAGGAGGGGAAGGGCATCTGAAGTGTAAGGCGCTCTCAGAGCCGGGGACGTGTGGTGCCACTAGCATTTAGCAGGCCTTCCCTTAGCCCCGTGCTGGGTGCTTTACACTCTTTCTCTTATTGAGCCCTTACAACAGCACTGAGAGATGGGGACCTATCTTGCTTTAGCAATAGTAAACTCTTGGCTAAAGTCGCACAGAGAAAGGGGCGTGAAGCTGAGATTTGAAAAAGGCCGTCTGGCATCCGAGTGGAAACTCTTGTGGTGCCACACTTCCTCTTTATGAAGGCCAAGTTTATTTTTGAACAGCTCCCATGTCTCAATGTTAACCCCACATGTAACCAAACATAAAAACAAAATTAAACTTAGCAATATGAAATAAAAACAAGCCTCGTAGACAAACAGACCCTTAATCCCCTCGCGATCTCCCAGAGCCTAGTCTGGAGCAGAGCCGTTGGCAACAGCCGTCACCCCTCGGATGCCGCTGGCAAGCGCGGCCCTGCTGTGTGGACACGCAATTCTTGGGTTCTGCGGTGCCCCCGTCTTTGTTTTTAAGTTCACTAGCAAAATATCTTAAAATCCTAGCTGAAAGTGGAGGAAATAAAGGTTTTAAATCTGAGTCTTCTGTTGGAGAATCATTTTTCCTGCCCCATCTGTTAACAACAGGAGGCTGAAGAATAAGCATGAAATGTTCAGTGTTTGCCAGATTGATCCAAATTCCAGATTGAAGAAGAGCAGTAAAGGAGAAGATCTGGTGTGCACGGCGATGCGTCTGCAGGGCGGTCTGTTAGCAGCCCCTGGGAGCTGAATTTCTTACTCGAGTGCAGGAAGAATGTCCGTTGTCCTCTGACGCTAGTCTGGGCAGCCCAGGGCAAAAGACTCACTAACGTCTGGGCTCTGCAGGTGAACTCTGATAAGAAGCTGTTTCAGTCACTCAGTTCTTGAAATCGCAACCCCCCCCCCCCGCCCCCCGCCAGCTTCATTATTCTAAGAAAGGTCATGGGGGAAGATTGGGTGCTACAGTGTCCTTTTCTTAATGGGAGTTCCAGTAAACTCCAGCGGACTTTGGGCAGTGTTCGGAGACACGTCGGTTGTCACAGCTAGGCAGACGACGCAGGGGCCACTGGCTCTGCCGCGTAGGGGCCTGGCATGCTGGCGGGTACCCTACAGTGCACGGCACCACCCCTCCGCTCCCAAACAATGAAGCGTGCAGCCCGCAGCCAAGAAACCTGCTTGGCAGCGAGGGGCCACGGCGTGACCCTCCCTGAAGGAAGGCTGTTGCCCGGCTTTGGACTGTCGCCCTTTAAGGAGGCCTGCGTCACTGTGCTCTGCCTCAAGTCCCCGGCATGGGACAGTGAGAGTGAGCGTGTCAGGTAGTGCGGGGCACGGGCAGGGCGGCTGCCAGGACAAGCTGCCAGCGCGTGTGAGCTTGGAGGACTCTGTCGGAGAAATCTTACAACAAGCCTGTCCTTTGCAGGCATCATCAATTATTTATTACTTCTTAGCTCTCTTAGAACTTAGAGACTGTTTCCCATATACATTGCCATTTTCCCCCCAAGTTTATGCCCATGACCTTTGCTGTTTAAATACATGGGGAATCACACGCAGGGGGACAGATGTACAGGCCCAGCATCATCTGCAGCCGCCTGGCGGTCTCTCTGCGCCCAGGCCCTGTCCCGGTGAGTCACGAGCTGTCGTCGTTACTCCCCGCCATAACCACGTGCTAGAGCTTTTATTCTCCCTCATGCACAGAGGGTCAGGGCTCTGGCCCAAGCTGTTTCATCAACATCTGTTTTGCCCTTGAATGTTACGAATACTCCCACATGCATTCCCATTCAGTCCCCATGCCCACCTCTTTCCCTCCCCAGGGCAGGACTTGTTCTCCTCCTCGTGCGCACGAGGCACCTGGAGCCCACTGGTCCCCAAGCCCGGTGCCGGCTTCAGATCTCGGCCCGCTCCAACCGCGCTCCCCTCAGGTAGTGCCCAGGTTTGCTGGGCCACAGTGGAGCCTGCTTCCTGCAGCAGGAGGTGCGTCCGCCTCTCAGAGGGCCACGCAGCTTCAGCAAAGCCAAGGCCTCAGGTCCCGCTTCCAGGGCTCTCGCTTCCAGGAAGTACTCGGTCTAGGGTCCCATGGTAAAGTCTGACTGACGCCCGGCTACACTTTGCAGGAAGCCACAGCCAGCAGCTGAAGGGCTCGGGGGATGTGCAGGGCTCGGGGGCCATAGGGTTCTGGGAGGGGGATTTGCTGGAGAGTTAGTGGGGGCTGCCGCCTCTGCTAAACTGTCGCTCCTCAGGTAGGAGCCTGGGGTGGCCTGGCTCTTCGGAGCTCACGTGGTCTCTCTGCAAAGGATGTGAACATTCTCTGTTTGCTCTGAAGGGTCTTGCCCCTTTTGCATGGCTCCCGGTTCCACATTAGCCCCTTTGTCCCCAGCAAACCTGGTGGCACGTTTTCTTAGAACGTGTCCTGCTCGCTCCCACCTTTCATCATCGCTGGCTCCTCACATGGACTGGTATGTGGAGAAGGCCATGTTGTGGTCGCAGCTCTTGGGCCAGCCTGGCCTACCGTGATGTCAGCCACGGTTGACATCCGTAGACACCCTGGTCCCTTCCCACTCTAGCTCCTCCCGGCCCGGGTGGGTGATGGGGAGGCCGAGGGCTCTTGTCTGTGAGACAGAGAAACAGCGCCCAGCCCCTGGGAGCCAGGCTGTCAGTCAGCAAGCCTGTCGGTAGTCCGTAGGGAGAGAACAGCAAAGAGGAGGGGGCGGGGGCCCCTCTCCCCATGAGGAACCCTGTCTTCATGGTCCGTGGAATGCCGTGGGGACGCACCCGTGGAGAGAAATTAAATCAGGCCCTTGACAGTCATCTGACTAAAGGAGCTATTTACTTCTTGATCCCATTTATATATTTTTCTCTTGATATTCCCATAAAATAAATGCCTCCACTATTGAATTTTTTAATTTAGAATGACATTCTCCATCCTTTTAGAAAAGAGCTAGTGTTCAGAATCATAATCAGTTTTCATCCTATATCACTTAGTCACGTGTATATAGAGTATTGTCGAAATCAGTACTCTACGTTTTCCTAGAAATTATCCTCTTGCCCACAGTTGCTTTTGTTTCTCTGTCCCCTGGCCCTCAGAGAGCCCCACAGGGGGCACTTTCCTCACACCCACCACTCCTTGTCGTCATCCGTTCTGCCAGCGTGGATTCTCCGTTCGGGGATGTATCCGTTTCCTAGGTCACCCTCAATCTCCCTTTCCCTGCCAGCCAGCGCGGACCTGGGTCATCGGCATTAGGGCCAGTCTAGAGAAAGGAACCGAAGTGTATGTGCCCCCATGGGCCAGATTCAGGTGCCCGCAGTCCAGGGGGACGGCTTGGGCCTGGGGGTCCACCTCCTGGGAGGGCAGGGCTCTGCGACTCCTTTGAGGCGGCCTTGCCTCACACCATCACTGGGATCTTTGAAAGGCCTGGGTCCCTGATTTTGAGTCACTGGATGGACGCGTACTGTGGACTTCACTGTCAGTTCCCTACGCTTCTACAGCCATCAGCAAATGAGTCCCCGCTGCACCTACATAGCTGAGCGGTGGTGGCTCAGCGTGGCAGAGGAGGAGGCTTGGCCCCTGGGCCTCTGCCCCAGGGAGCCAGCGCAGGCAGAGCGAACAGCCGCCCCCGCCCCGACCCCGCCGTGTCCAGCCTCTGTGTCCTGATTGCAGTCCTTAGAACACTAATCTGGCTTGGCCTCTGCAGCAGGAAGCCTTTTCCATTCGCATCCCTCTCAAGATAGTTTACAGGAAATTTTATTTTATTTTTTCAAAATAGCTCCCTTTAATCTCTCTCCTCCCTCCTTATACTTAACATTTCCTTTCAGAACCTGAGCTGGCTGGAAGAGAAGGAGAAGGAGGTGGTCAGTGCCTTGCGCTACTTTAAGACCATCGTGGACAAAATGGCCATTGACAAGAAGGTGCTGGAGATGCTTCCAGGGTCCGCCAGCAAAGTGCTGGAGGCCATCCTGCCGCTGGTGCAGAGCGACCCTCGCATTCAGCACAGGTGCGCTGCGCCCGGAGCCTCGGCTCTGTCTGGACAGGGCGGGGCGGGGCGGGGCTCGAGGCTCCAGGTTTCTAGGCACAGGGAAGAGGGTCTGGAGGGAAAGGAGCTCTCTCCCCCACGGATGTCACATGATACTCTCCCGAGGCTGAAGCCACTGTCACTCAGGGGACCCCGCACAGAGGAAGCTCTCCGCCACCACCAGGGATGCAGCCATAGCGTGAGGCTGTCGTCCCTTCCTTGCACTGGCTCGTTGGCAGTGTTCACACGGACTTGGACCCGCTGCCCCTAGTGCCCCAGGTTAACCATAGTTTGTGATGCCATTAACCCTGTCAGCACTGAGCCTGTTGGAGACTGCAGCTGCTTAGACAATGGGACAAAAGAGGTAGAGGAGAGCCTCACTAGCTCACAGACCAGTGAGACACTGAACTGTGTCAAGCTGGGGTCTCCCAACAGCGCTGGATTCACAGAGGCCAGGTGGGGTGGAGTCGGCCCCGGCCCCAGGAAGCCTCGGCCCGGCAACACTGTTAGTGCCAGAGTGCGCTCTCTCCGCAGAGGCCGGCCCGCGGCTCGGCCCCGTGCTTGTCGTTCAGGACAGAGAAAAAAGCAGCACTCGATGGAGTCTTAGGTGAAAGGCTGCTGATGCCTGCTGGCTGCGCCACCCCGCCCGTGCCTGTTGAGAAGAAAGGCCTCTATGCCCGCTCCCCGCGCTGATGGTCCAGTGTCCCTGGATCCCTGGGAGGCCGTGCTTTCATGAACCGTGGACAGAACCTGGCAATGAAATGCACGGTTTTCTTTTTTGAGAAAACAAAGCAAACCACGCCTTTATTTCCAAGAAGCCCTCCGCTCTGGGCTGCCCCCTCCGCAGGGAAAACCTCTGAGGAGACCAGTCCCTGCACTGCCCTCTCCAGCGCCCTGTGCGCTGGCCTCCAGGGCCGCGAGACGGGGCCCTGTCTCTCTGCAGAGCCCGTGCCCGCCTTGTAGGTGGGCCCCGCCTGCCCTCCTTCGGGAGTGGGCCTGACGTCATGAAACGCTCTCGCTGCTTCTCATGAGATGCCCCAGGCCATGGGAGGGCCAAAGTCTAGTTGAGAACGTGAACTCCCACTCCCACAGTAAAGTGCTAATTGTGTGGTGCCAGGAGAAGCTCCACTGGAATTTGAAGGAGGGAGGGTTGCAGTGGTCCCATTAAACTGCTGGGGGAGGAGGTCCTGGGGCCAGACCTGAAGGAGGGCGGGGCCCACAGAGCAGAGGGCTGGCAGCCGGGGTGCTCCTGCAGGGCGCGTGGCCGTCCCTGGCTGCAGGGACTGCTCTGGGGCTGCTCAGCAGGGAACCGTGGGAACCGAGACGTGGGTCCCTCCACCCTACCCTGTCCCGGTGCTAAGCCTCTCTGTCGGGTCCAGGACAGCCACGTGGCTACATCCTGTAACTTACAGTGTCGACTCTGTCACCGCGAGGACTGCCGCCTCCTGGAGGGGTGGCCGGCCCTCTGCTGGGGAAATGGCTCTCCAGATGCGCGTGCCCTAGGGAGAGCCAAGCGCATAATGTGGCGATGGTTCGGGGTACTTCTGCCCATGGTTTGGGGAGATTTTATAATTATTTTATAGATGACAGTTTATTTAATGTCTACAGGAGTTCCCTAGAGGGAGTAAGAGAAACGCCTGGCTGTGGCCACAAGGAACAACAACTTGCTTTTTTCTGGTTGTCCTTTGTCTGTTACCATTTAAGAGATTTCCTCCTGAAATTATTCCAGAGAATCAGTATTTTTATTGATCTCGCCGAGATGATGGAAGGTGCTCCCTCAAGCATTTCCCTTACATTCCCCCACCACCTCAGTCCTCGCCGTGCAGCTTGCCAGCTGGGGAGGAGTTTCCTGCCCTCTGGCAGGGCCTCTGCAGGGGCCGGCTCTCCCTCTGCCACTCGGTTCCCTGACGACGGGGACCAGCCTTTGAACAGGCTGTGGGGTGCGAGCGGAAGATGGAGGGTCCCCTGCATGGCGGGGCGCCCGAGGCCTTAAGGGGACGTGCCTGCCTGCAGTGGAGAGCACTCTGCTCCATGCCAGCAGCAGGCCAGCAGCTGGTCCCCGGGTGGCGCTTCCCGCCCTGCTATCAGCCCTTCACGCAGAGGCGCGGCCGCTTCCCGGGAGCCGTGTGGCGGTGGGCGCGACTGCCCGTCTTCAGGCGCTTTCCGGGAAAGGGGACCATTCCAGAGGGACGGAAATTAAGTGTCATATTGCGCTGTCCCTCCCCGCTTTCATCTGTGTCCTTCCAGTCTTTACGGAGCACTTAGTGCCCTGGTGGCCTCCTCAGGGCACGGAGGTGGGAGGCAGCGCCCCCGTATAGGGCCTCCCCTGGCCTGCCCCGCCAGAGGGGGTAGGGCTGCGAGAAGTGCCTTCCCCCGGGGTGACGTCAAGGGAGGCCCGTCCAGGAAAGGCTGCAGGTTTTGTTTTGCCCTCTCGGTCCCTTTTCCTAAGGGAGTTGGTCCAACACCAAATACTTCCCACTCACTCATGTTACCCTCCGAAGCAGCCAAGCCCTGCTGTTCCCGGGCTCCTTTGTGCACGTCTTGCTTCTAATGAGCCCAGGGAGTCTGCTGCGTTCCGCCTGGCTCCCCTTGCCTGTCGGGACGTGTGCGGCGTGGGAGGGCTGGCGGCGTGGAAATTTAGACCTGGAAAAATACTCCCCCTTACCTGATTCGGAAAAGCTGCGCCTCAGAGCGCTATTTGGTTCCGGGCTGTGTTTCTAGAACCTGTTTTAACCATGTCTGACAATATTTTTTTCCCCTGAAAATTATATTTTTAGCTCCTAAATGTCTACCTTATTTTTTATGTCTTTTTAAAAAAATTTTCTGAGTAGAGGAAGGGGCAGGCCACAGATTTTCTATATTTTTGTTCTTCTATTATGATATGTAATATTTAAAGTGGAAATATATTCCTTTCCATAACTCTTAGAGGAAATTATCTTCAGTTACTTAAAACGTCATGGAAGATACAGAAGTTCTTTAGTTTGGCCGCCATTCTGCAGTTGTCGAGGCAGCAGAAGTCCTGGGGCTTCGGATCTGTGTGTGGCGGCCTCACCTCAGACTGGTCTTTTGTGAAATACCCTGCGTCAGCGAGTCCCTCTGGTGCCTCAGCCATAGCTGTGGTGCAGAGAGTTTCTAGTAAATGACCGATCTCTTCGGACTCACGTGTACGGGCTGTTTCTTAAAGGATCCTGCCCGTTCAGACCCACAACCCTGTGGGTTCCTTGTGACACATCCGGCCTGAGTTTTAGTCTAATTCTAAACTGGGTGCTTTGACCCAGTCCAAGGGTCGGCACCTCGGAGGAGGGGAAGCTGGGGGGCACTCCTCCAGGGCCATGGGCACCATCGCGGGGGGGATGTGCAGTCTGAAAAAGTGTGTTCATGTCCACGATGCAGTTTTTATATGTTATAGTTGGGGGATGAAAAACTACATACGACAGACTAGACTTATCGCACTCCCGAAATTTTCAGCGGATGGAAGGAGGCAGGTTCTGGGAGGAGAAGTTTGCTCATCAGAGGGAAGTGTGGCTTGTACTCTGGGAAGCGGGTTCCATGCCAAGCGGGCATCTTCCTGTGATCTCACGCTTCCGATCTTTGTTGAACCCTCTCTTCCCTCCAGCTCGGCGCTCTCGTCCTGCTACAGCCGAGTATACCAGAGTCTCGCCAACCTCATTCGCTGGTCTGACCAGGTGATGCTGGAAGGTGTGAACTCCGAAGATAAAGAGATGGTGACAACGGTGAAGGGGGTCATCAAGGCTGTGCTGGACGGAGTGAAGGTATGGCGGGTCCCGGACTTAGAGCTGCCTCCCTGCTGGGTGTTCATCACAGAGCTTGTCCCTAAACCCGATACGTGACAATGGATGTCTCCCGGCGTCCCTGGTGTGGGTATGCTCTCTCCGGTGGCCGTTTCATTCTCTCTGGCACCAGTGGCTGCTGCGGTGACACAGGCCTTTGGAGCGCTCATCACGATGGTCGGAAAGCTGCCCAAGCAACTGGCCTCCCCAAGCGCTGCGTTAGGTCTTCACAAGTCCTTACGTTGAAGCCCTGGCTGCGCGCTCCTGCGAGCCGGACGAGGTGCCGCAGAGGTGCTTTTGTGCCATCAGTGGAACTCCCTGCCTGTCAGCTGCTGCCTTTTCATGTTCTGAAAAGTTCTGGGACCCGTGATAGAAAAGCAGGATTGAGATGAGTAAGAGGTGAAACTGCCTGGATTTGAAGTCCATGATGTGGTCTGAAGCCAGGAAGGCCATGCAGGACATCATGAATCCTAGTCAAGGCAGGAAGCAGAGGCCATAGGGGGTCTGGAATTACTGAGGAAGTAAGTCCTGGGTGCGGAGCAAGGCGGAACGGAGGGGAGGGCCTCCAGGTCCGGACGAGGGCTGTGGGCCGTGGGGACTGGAGGTCCCGCTGTTCTGCGAGGCTGTGTAATACAGTAGAAAGAGGGCCAGCCCTGGGGCCCAACTAGGTTTGAGCCCCAAGTTCACCACTTACTAGTCGGTGACCTTGAGCAATTTACTCAGTGACTGATACCTGGTTACCTTTCCCACGAACTGGGGGTGAATGGCACCACGCGTCACAGTGCCATGGGAGGGGCTGAGTTAGCAATGCATGCAGAGCTCTAGAACGTTGCCTGTCACACGTGAGGTACTCAGAACGCAGCTGCTGTCTGTTGTTAGTTACGTGGCGTGCGACGTATGCCTGGACAGAAGCATCTCTCGGCTTGAAAAGAAGCTGCATCCTCCTCCTTTCTAGGCCCTTCGATCCAAAGTAGTAGCCAAGGCCCTCACTTAGGTCAGAAGCCGTTTCTCCCCCACCCTGCCGCGCCGCCAGATTTCTGACAGCTGCCTCTTGGGTGCACGCTCGCCATGCGCTCTGGAGAGCAGCGTGAGGGCCCGCAGAGGGTAAGGATCCAGAGGGAAGGCTGAGAAGCACTGGTTAACACTGAATTGCTCCAGCACGAACGGGGCTAGAGCCCCCCTCCAGCGCCGCGCAGGGCCACTGCGTCTGCTGGGGACGCGATGGAGTTCACCTAGAGGGAGGCTCAACTGGACAACATCAGAGTTTCTTCCGAGGGCTCCCAGGTTCTCTTCACCTCCCAGAAGTACAAGGCGCGGCATGATCTGCCTGGCCAGTGAAGCGTAAGGGCGCGCCCGGGGCGGCTGCTGCGTAGGACCCTAGGTCACGTTCCAGACCCCGGAGCGCAGTCCCACGCCTCATCCCGATCGGACTCCCCAGCAGCCTTTTGAAGTCAGTGAGTGAGACGCACCCTGGGCTGCACTTCCTCGGCGGAGTCTGCAGTTCTGGCTGACACACCCGTGTGCTTCCCGCCCAAACTTTTGGAAGTGCTGTTACTGAGAAAGGGTTATTTTTCAGGTGAGATTGTTAAGGTTTCCTTCTACCAAATTCATCATGATGAGATCCAAGCAAGGGAGAATATCCCAACAGAGAGTTTCACTGTGACCTTCCCAAGTAGCGTCTCCCTTGTCGAATCAGTCAAACACCAGTGTACTGGTTGATGGAGAAATGTCTCTGATTTTTCATGTTGACCAGGATAAGCGATAGAGAGGGGAACCTATAGATTATGACTCTTTCAGTGTCTGAAAGCAAGGAACTTTCCCATGATTGTTTTAAAATATGTTAGCCAGAACTGAGATTCTCTAGGTGAGGTGCTCTGTAAGTTCAGTTTTGTTTCATTTACCCAAGAAGCATTTATCAAGAACCCCCTGTGTGCTGGGCAATGCGGTGGAATTGGGAATGGGGTGATAAGCAAAAGGCACAGTCCCGACCGCATGGCACTTTCGATCGAAAGGGGGAAATGACGACAGACACGTGTGGGTATGTAATTACACAGGACTGGTGCTGTAAAGAAGAAGCACCCTGGGGTGCTACCGGGGTGTGCCAGGGAGCCTCCTCTTCCGGGGCGTCAGAGACCCCTCCCCCAGGAAGAGACAGACAGGCTAGAAGCCTGAAACATGAGCAGGAATTGGCCTGTGTTACTGAAGCCTTTCGTAGTTCGAGTCGGTAAAGGCAGCGGGGCCTTCGAGACTGTAGTGCCGGCGTCTGTTGCCAAGGTCTAACAGTAACAGAGCCATTTATTGCCCACCCGGTGTTTGTAATGACGCTCCAAAGTAGGCGTGACTTCCCCCTCACAGTGTGGGAGTGAGACTCCGACAGACCGGTGGCAGGGTCGGGACCCCCACTGGGGCCTGCGGGGTCCGGGGCTGCGCCCACCGTCACCCCAGCCCCTCCCCCAAGGAGGCAGGGTCATGGTCAGCCTGAGGGCCTCCGGGGCGCCCACCTCCAGGTCAGCTGGCCACCGGCCTCTCTCTCGGTCCCCTTCAGGCTTAGGGCACCTCATAAGCCCGTGTCCTAATTACATGACGGCCTCAGTCAGCTGGGAGGGGCGGGACCGTGCGAAATCAAGTCTATCCGTGAGGATGTGGTCATCCACCAAGAGGAGGAATGCTAGCGCGTTCCTTTAAACTGACTCAGCGCCTTTCAAGTAACACATTCAGTTGTTAAATGGAATTTTTTTTGACGAAGGGCTGAAGTGTTTTAAAAACAGGGTTACTTTGTTTTTGTCCCCTAACGGGTAGTCTCATTTATTATTCACCTCCCCCATGTCACTCGTTGGCTCTGTAACTTTGGGCAAGCTACTTCTCTGAGTTTCAAGTAAGTTTTTAAATACTTACCCCGACGACTTGAAGAAAGATTAACTAAGATAATGTATACAAACCCTGCTAAGTGCTAGGTGCCCGTCAACGGTGGGTAAGTACTGCTAGTTGTAGAAATGTCCGTTTCTGGAGCTGCTCGCAGTTACCCGCTTCTCAGCACTGGGCCCTCCTCTCCTTCCCACGTCCTGCCGCAATCTCAGGTCAAAAGGCAAGCCCCCGCCCGGAGCGGAGGTCCCCAGGCAGCGCTCTCCGGGACACCCTGAGGCGCGAACTCTTCCAGGAAGGGGCTGAAAGGTCTTCACTCCCCATTTCTCGAGGAGCCTCCTCCCACCCCGCCCAGGACCTGGCTGCTGGGGGACCGAGCTCCTCGATGTCAGGCAGAGACCCTGGTTCGTCCCTTCAGACCAGCACCCCAGGTCCTGCTCGCTCCATTTAAACTTCTGCTTTTCTCCTTGCTGCTCTCAGATGTGCACCTTCACACGCGTGCCCCCAGGCTCTCTGCTCGCTCCCCGCACAGGCCTTCTAGGGATCCTCTGGCTGGAGCCCCTCCCCTAGCTGCCTGAGCCCCACCCCTTTCACATGCACATTCTTAAAAATTATTTTGTAAAGCCCCACACCTAGGGCAGAATTTTGGATTACCTGCAGTTCTGTCACGGCCCGAAATTGGGCTTGTGTCCCAGATTGACTTTGTACAACAGGACTATTTATTTTGAAAGAATGTTCTCCTGACTCTATCAGTCTTGACTGCAAGAAAATTGAAAATAGACTGGCTTTTAGAAGATAGAACTTTATTTCTCTCTCACATATAAGAAGCCCAGAGATAGGCTGTTGTAGCTAATATGATGACAGTTTCACAAAATAGTCTGGGCGTTCTTGTCCTATTGCTTTCCTGCGTCCTTGGCACATAGACTTCACCTCAGGGTCTGAAACGGCTGCTGTCTCTCCCTCCGTCCACTGGGACCACACTCCAGCCAGCGAGGAGACTGAGCGAGGAGCTGCGCCGTCTCCGTCTAAGGGGCCTCCTCGGAGGCCTCGCAGCGCTTTCTCTTACATTTTATTGGCCAGGACCTAGACACAGGCCCAGCCAAAATTTCACTCATAAGGAGGAACACATTGTGGGGCACCTAGCTGCCTGCCACACTGGTATTTCAAACCAGCCATCTCTTTTCATTCCTCATTCAGCCTGTTTTTAAATTTTGGGGGGAAAATTTCAACACTTGCCAAAAAAGAGAATTATTACATAACGAAGCCCCATCACATCGCTCCCGCAGTTGTCCAGCCGCGGCCGGCGTCGTGTCTCCTGTTCCTCCACCTGCTCCCCTGGCGTCTGCAGAAGTGAAGCCCAGACATCACACTCTGTCCCTGTAAATAACACGTGTCTTTGAACAAGACACACTTTCTGTAAGGGACCAGATAGTAAGTGATTTAGGCTTCTCAGGCTACATGCAGCCTCAGTTGCGTCTTGATTTTGTTTTTTAAATTTTTTTTTTAAACCTTTTTTTAAAAGATTTTATTTATTTATTTTTAGACAGATGGGAAGGGCGGGAGAAAGAGAAGGAGAGAAACATCAATGTGTGGTTGCCTCTCGCGCACCCCCTGCTGGGGACCCGGCTGCAACCCAGACATATGCCCCAACTGGGAATTGACCCAGAGACCCTTTGGTTTGCAAGCCGGCACTCAGTCCACCAAAGCATGCCAGCCCAGCCCGGGCTAAACTGTAGTTTTCTTTAATAAAGCATTCTTACCTTGAGGGCCTTACAAAAAGCAAGCCCTTGGCTGGGTTTGGCCTGCAGGATGTAGTTTGCTGCTTTTAAGCAGTTCAATTCAGGGTCCAAAAGAAATCCATGCACTGAAGTCCATTAGTATATATCTTCAGTTTCTCATCCTCTGTGTTTTTCTTCTTGCAACTTATTTGTGTTTTTAGGAAGGGTTATCGCTCCTAAAAATCTCCCACTTTCTGGATTTCGCTGTGATTGCGCCCACGCAGTGTTGCTGAGCATGGTCCTCTGTCCCTTGAGCTCCCTGCAACACTGGAGGCTGGGTGGGACTCGGGGTCTTAGACGGCCGCTCCCCCTGCGAAGCCCTGCGCTCCCGCCCCAGGCAGG